ACTCGGGCTTGCCACCTTTGCTCGGCGAAGACCTCGTTCCAGACCGGTGAGAGTCGGGCTGATCTTGTCGAATGCCCGACGAAAACGTCTCGGCACCAATCGGCATGCCTACACCCCGAGAAGAAAGGACCAAAATGTCGATCGGTGTACGTCTTTCTTTTTTTTTTTTTCTTCACGGGAATCCGTGGAACTTAACTCGGGTTTGCCACCTTTGCTCGGCGAAGACCTCGTTCCAGACCGGTGAGAGTCGGGCTGATCTTGTCGAATGCCCGACGAAAACGTCTCGGCGCCAATCGGCATGCCTACACCCCGAGAAGAAAGTACCAAAATATCGATCGGTGTACGTCTTTCTTTTTTATTTTTCTTCACGGGAATCCGTGGAACTTCTGAAACCAGTTCGGAATGCATACGACCCCGGAACTTTTCACGGCCGAGAGCTGGATAAAAAGAAAGATGATGCAAGAGAGGGGAAGGTCATTAACTCCTGGAGAGAGGGAAAAGCCCTGGAGTGTTTCCCCGCCCCGCCCCGACCTTTGGAGTGGGTTACCGGTTATGGGTGAAGGGCAGGGGCGCCGTTATCCTCTTCCTGTTCCGCTCGAGAACTAGTCGTCATGCGGATTCCACATCGTTGGCGACGATTTGGCGGGGAGGGTTTTCCGCGTTATAGACTGTTCGCCCGAACCTGGGAATGTCGGATCTGTGCCCTGAGCCGGCTCTTAGGTGGTGAGGGCGGTCGGGCTGCAAAGGTGACGATCATATCTGAAATTGTGCGGGAGGAGCCAAAATTAAGTGTCGAGAATATTCGAATCTGTCTCAACCAAATCCTTTCATTTCATCAGGATTCTGTTTTCTTAATGCATATTTCCAGGACTGTAGTGGCACTCACTGTCTTTGGGTATTAAAGGCTCTGTATTTTATAATTGGCAATCTCATGGGACAAAGTGTTGAAAACTGAATTAGCCCCTCAAGCCGGTATCTCGAGTGCATACTCGCAGCCTTGTGCGTGAGCCAACAGATAAAAAATTGTTCTGTCGCAGTCAAAAACCTTCGGGTAAAATGGATCAGGAAAAAAATAACAGCCACACAGATTTTTCAACGGCAACAGGGTCCAACATGAGGTTGTTTCTTCATCGGCTTGTAATACGTAAAATAAAACAGGCTAAATCGCAGTATCTCGTCATGTACTGCTCAAAGTGATGAAAGAAAAGAGGAAGGCTGAAAGGAAGGGAGAAAAGAAATGCTGAACCAATTTTTTAATTTTTTTAAATGAGCCACTCAGTTTTCTGAATGGCCCCTTCTTCGTTCTGAAAGAAGAGTTAAAATTATAATTTAAACTTAAATTTCAACATTTTCTCTGGCTGGGAATGCGCTCCGAAACGACAATGAAAGATTGTGCATTTTCTGTTCCAAGTGTCAACGTGCTGATGATGACGAGGACGTAAGCCCTTTCTTTCCCCGTCGATTACATGAATTTGATGGCAGAGAAACGGCAGAGGCTACCATCTAGATCAAGAAAGGGAAAGGAAAAGAATCGTTTTTTTCTCTCCATCCTCGCGAGAAGGTTCCAGAGGGCACGGACCAATGGGAGGCGTTCCCGGCAGTCCCGCTCACGCGCCTCGCACGCTCCTCTCACACACCTTGGTAGCCTGGGCAGCGCCAGCCAGGCTGAGCTAGTCGGTCTCGCGTGGTGGACGGAAATTCATCACCATCTCTCGTGAGTGTCAGCTCATTTTGTTCCATTTGTTGCTCTTTGTAGCCTCCCGATACAATTTTGATTAATCGCGGATGCGAGTCTCCGCGGCGAACGGCGAAGTCGACCCGCGAAAAGTTGCCTAGTGCGTTTCCTCAGATCTTTTAGGCCGACCGCGCACGGACGCTTCGACATCGCCTCTAATGAAAAAAAAAAAGCTGTCGATGAAACGACGCAGTGATTGTTTGCCAGATGCGTCCCAGACTCCCGCCGCACTTCTCCCCCCCCCCCCGCTTTCTCGCGTCAAAAGGACTTATTATGATCGACGCCTTCGCTTCCCATTTTGCACATCTGGAACGTGTAACGCGAGCGAGTGTAACGCGTCTCACCTTCCAGTCGTTTGATTTGACAAGCGATGAGAACGCCGAACCGCCTCATTCGTCCGTTCAACTATGACATCCATCCCTTCACGTTCCAAGTAGACATTGCAGAAGTGGACGGATCGGAGGACGGCTTTTAGCAGGTGGCGAGGGGAGCCGTGTTGCAGTGGCGACGCTCAATTCTTAAAGGGACGCAACGAGATAATCGAATCACACACCCTAATCTTTTTTTCCCTTTAATCCTCCAGACAGCACGCTCTGCCCTTGAAAACCTGTCTTCTCCCTCTTGCCCCGTTACTCATCCTTGGCCGCATTGCGGAGCGATCTTATCTGAATTACTCCTAAGTTTGGGAAAGCTTACTTAAAATCACGACTTGCAGTAGTGAATACGGCAGGGACTGCGGCATGACGTGCACGCGAAACTGGCGTATTCGCCTGATGTTTGGTGCGATTAGAAATGCAATGATGCCTAGGAGCAGGGCCGGATTAAGAAGTTACGAGGCCCGAGACAAGTGAATTCTTGGGGTCCCCCCCCCCCCCAGCTACTTTACGCAAATACAATTACTTTTTTTGAACTTAACGTTTTTAATTTCCTTCGGGGGGGCACCCTGGAAGAGTGGGGCCCGGGGCAACTGCCCCCCTTTGCCCCCCCCCC